GCTAAGTTCCAGGGATAACCTGCTGCTGTTCATACGGTTGATGGAGTAGTCGGAGTCACTCGAGAGCAGGAGATTGGTTTGGATGGGCAACTCGGAAAAAATAAGAGGACACGTGTTGCAGGGAGATTGGGAAGAATTGTGGAGTCCTACTCAGCTGACTTGGGCGCTGGAGGATAGGAGGACCTAGAGGTGTGTGGTAAGTGTGGAGGGACTCATGGGTTTGCTTGTACCAAGTTCAGGTGTTTCAAGTGCAGGGAAAGGGGGCATGTGTATCGAGATTGTAAGCAGGATCAAAGATGTTTTCATTGTCACCAGCCGGGTCATTTCAAGTCTCGATGTCCCGTCTTAGTGGTGTAGAGAGTTCGGGGTTAGGCGCCCATCATTCCGCAGAAAGTCAAGATCGAGCCGCACTAGATCGCAGGTATGTAGTTTGATTTCTTCCCTTTTGTAGTAACTCTATTGTTATGGTACTGCATCGATGTTAGTAAGCATGTATTTGTGAGTATTATATTACCTGCTTGTGATTGAGTTATATGCCATTTGCATACCTTGGTTTTAGATTGATAGTCATAGGTTGTTCTCCAATAGAGCAGGTTATTTAGGTTGCAGTAGCTATAGCAAGATTATGTGCGACTTGGAGTGTCTCACTAGTTCAGAAATGGGTCGTATTGGAGCTGGATTGGTTAGATCCCTAGCTATGGTAAGCTTGGGCTTTTCAGCGAGATTGATTACGGAATGGTGGTAAGGAATGGGAGTTCTTTTCAAGCTTTGAGTAGTGAGGTATAGGCGGGATCAAAGTGGGGGAGAACCCTCCGAGTATACAAGGGTAAGAGTACGCAAATCCAGAATGAGTACACAACCTCCAAGAAGAAAATGTTGTAGCACAGCAATTGATGGATTGAGGAGTTCAGGGTTGGGAGTTTGAGGAACTTCCCAACAGTTAGTTCATATGATCGAGATGGTTAGTAGCTGGTTGGGAATCCAGGGTTGGAGGACCACCTGTAGGACTCTAGTGAGTTGGAATGAGGATCTTGAGAACGGTTAGCAAGAGATGCTTTCGTGATTAGTAGTCAGTGGCAGAGACAGCCTGCAGAGCATGGTAGAGCGGCGAGAAAGCCGCGACATTATCGAGCAACAACCAGTTAGTAAGTAAAGTGTTGTTAGTCTGCGGTGGTAACCGTAGCATTCACTAGCAGTCAGATTGTAGTAGAGTGTTGTAAGTCTGCGGGGGTAGCCGTAGCATTCACTAGCAGTCAGATAGTAGTAAAAGTGTTGTAAGTCTGCGGGGGTGGCCGTAGCATTCACTAGCAGTCAGATAGTAGTAGAAGTGTTGTAAGTCTGTGGGGGTGGCCGTAGCATTCACTAGCAGTCAGATAGTAGTAGAGTGTTGTAAGTCTGCGGGGGTACCGTAGCATTCACTAGCAGGCATATAGTAGTAGAGAGTTGTAAGTCTGCAGGTGTAGCTGTAGCATTTATCAGGTTGGTAGGCAGCATGAGCGCGTTGTTTGGATGCGGGGGAAGCAGTAGTACCCACCAGTTCGGGTGCAGCAGTGAGGATATGGGAATCCACGGGTTAGATTTCAGATCTCCCAAATGGTTCAGTTATGGTTAAGCTGGGGATTTGACAGTCGGATCGTCTCCACAGTTGAGTTGGAACTCGGTGTTGCAGATAACGGACGAATGATTGGAGACCAGGAAGGTCTTGAGATACTTTGGGAAGCAACCATATAGTCCTTTCAGTGTTTCAGTCAGTTCGGCACTTCAGTGAGTTTAGTGTTTCAGGCAGTTCAGTGTTTCAGGCAATTCAGTGCTTCAGTCAGTTTAGTGTTTCAGGCAGTTCAGTGTTTCATGCAGTTCAATGTTTCAAGCAGTTTTGTGTTTCACGTAGCTCAGTGTTTCAGGAAGTTCAGTGTTGCAGGTAGTTCAGTGTTTCTGATAGTTTCAGTGTTATGAACAGTATTAGTATTTGTGTTGGAACGCAAGTGCTGATGGTATAGTTGGTTGATTTGGAAATGGAAAGTCCCTCTCAGTGGGATCAATTGAGTCTTTTGCTATGTATAAGTGATCTACAAGGATAATTAGGCAGGTATCCTTTCTTTCAGGGTGGAAGACTCGAGTTATTGGAAGTTGAGTAGTCAGATGAGAGATAAGCAGGTTGGCTCCACCAACATCGATTTAGTATAAGGCAGAGTGGATATACCAGTTATAGATAGTCGAAGTATCTTCAGAAGTTTCTGGAAGCGACTAGGAGATTGCGATGGGGTGTAGTGACCGGTAGGAGTCCGGTAACCCAGATATCGACATATTAGTTGGACCAGGGTGCTCTCAGTGCATCCGGTAGGCAGATGAGGGGCAACAAAATTTGCAGTCAGAGGTAGTAACAATAAGGGAAGTATGGTAAGTGGCAGCAAGTTGGCAGAGGGTACTATGCCTCCCACAGCAGGGTTGGATAATCTCAGAGGGGAGGGTTTGACCTTGTTGCGCAGCTCTCGTATGAGTCTTAACCGTTGCAGGGTTGAATCTTTCACTCGAAGGATTATCTGATCCATTCATTGGGACGGGTGCTCAGCACTATGTTATGGAAATAAGAAGCATTCAATATGTACCAGCATTAGTGACCAACATTGAGAGTGGCTGGAATGATGGACATCGTGAAGGGTATGATCTTCACAGTGACAAAGGAGGTGAATAGCTATAGAAGGCAGCCTCGGGAAGGCCAAAGAAAGCATGAGGAAAACAGAGTATACCCCCAAAAATGTTTAGCCTAAGTACTCAGGGAGTACCGGAAGGATTGTCAGTTGAATAGGAGGTGTTCTCAGGAAGGTTAAGGATTAGATTGTACTCGGGGATTTTAACTGCAAGGATTAGGCATCCAAAATGACCGGGCAGAAGGTCAAAAGGGTTAGAGTCACAAGGCAGGGTGTCGAAGGCGGATTGCAGGCCAGATGGACATAGCGAACTTCAAGGGTGAAGTTTAGTTTAAGTGGGGGAGAGTTGTAACACTCGAAATCAGAAAAAGGCCAAGAAAAGAAAGGAAAACCATAAGTTTAAGGGGTCGACTCGCCGAGTCCAAGGAAGAACTCGACGAGTTGGAGCGGGTTCCGTGTCGTAGATTAAGTGACCGACTCGACAAGTCGGGGTTTGGACTCGGCGAGTCTGGTCTGGTCTGGGTTGGGAAACCCTAATTCCGGGACTTGGTACCCTATTTAAGCATCTTATTCTCTTTTCTAGGGCTCATTTGCGGCCCCTGTAGTCCAGAACTCCAACCCTAGCCACCATAACCGTTTATGGAGCAAGATCTACCCTTGGTGAAGTAATTTGAAGCTTGGAAGAAAAGAGATTCATAGTGGTGCAAGAGGAGGCCTTGGATCCAGAGTTGGTGGAACTTTTTAGAGCATTTGGAGGTAATGAATTGTTATCTTTGGCTTTCTCCTTTCTAGATCCATCTTTCATGGAGTTTTAGGGTTTCTTTGAGAGTATGTGATGAGAAATTGGTGCACAAGTTAGATCTAGAATTGAAACTCCAAATCTAAGCTCTATTTGGATCAAAGATGCAGAAAGCTCTGTTAGTTGCTATGCAAAAGCCATTCCCCATGAGTTAAGTTCCTTTCTAGCTTGGTTTTTAGTATTATGAGACAAGAAGCACATAAAGGTAGCAACTTTATGTTGCTAATGGACTCTAGGAACCCAGATCTATTGTTTGGAGCAAAGGAGTAGCTCTGTGACTCGAGATTATGAGAATACACGTAAGGACTTGGCGAGTCTGGGAGAGGACTCGACAAGTCAGGCTAGATACCAGATTTAAATCGCGTAGTAAATCGGCGACTCACATGGGTGAACTCGACGAGTCTGTTCTTGGGCTCGGCGAGTCAAGTCGCGAAACCCCAAACCCTTCTAGTTAAGACTCGGATCAGTGAGTTGAGTGGAGACTCAGAGACTTGGATAGGACAGAACTAGGAAATCAGTAGACTCGGCGATTCATGGTCTGACTCGGCGAGTCGAGTCGCAAATGAAAGGGGTTTCTGAGCTTATGAACTCGGCGAGTCAGAAGGCTGACTCAGTGAGTAGGGTCAACCTGGAAGGTTGACTTTGACCAGGACTTTGATTTTGACAAGAGTTGACTTAGTTGAATTTTGGAGGACTGTCATACTAAGTGTTATATTGATATTGGTAGCTCGGAGAGCTAGAGGAGCAGCGCCACAGAGGGTTGTCGGTTAGTAGTCAGGGGGTTATCAGCATAGCTCAGCAGTTCAGATGAGTTACCTTCCAGTAGCGATGGGTCTACAGCCACAATGCCGGCCAACCAATAAGAGTTGTGTGTTAGATGATTGTCTTTGTGTTATCATCTAGTTTTGCTACTACCTGATATGTTATATGCTAGCTTTATGTGTTATAGTAGTAGAGTTCGGTTGTTAGGACCGAAGGGTAGTCAGACATCCTAGATACGTCTGACAGTATTTTATCTCACGATTATATGCTAGCATGATCTGAGATATGTGTTAGGGGTAGTAGGAGGGGAAAAGTCCCCGAGTTTGGTTGTTAGGACCGAAGGGTAGTCAGACACCCCAGATATGTATGATAGTATGTTATGTTATGATAAGTGATAGTAGTAGTGGTAGGGGTGAAATAGTCCCCGAGGTCGGTTGTTAGGACCGAAGGGTAGTCAGACACCCTAGATATGTCTGATAGTATGTTATGTTATGATAAGTGATAGTAGTAGTGGTAAGGGGTGAAACTGTCCCCGAGGTTCGGTTGTTAGGACTGAAGGGTGGTCGGCACCCCGAATGACCGCACGGGTAGGACTGGACCCCAAAATGGTCGCACGGCTAGATCGGCACCCCAGAATGGCCGTAACCGGTAGGTTGGGCAACCCAGAAATTCCTGACAAGTATGGTATGTTATATGATTGTATAGTATGTATGCTATGTGATTGTATGGTATGTGGTATTTAGGGGGGAGCACACTAAGCTTCGTGCTTACGGTTTCAGTTTTTGGTTTTAGGTACTCAGTTTTCAAAAGAGGAGTTCGAAGAGGTTGCAGTGCACACACCATAGTCAGTTGGCATGGGAACTTTTTACTCTGATAATAAGATTATGTTTTGTATTAATACTCGGAAATTATGTTATGACTTATGTTACGGTTTTTATAAATATGGTTTTAGTAATGTTTTAAAAGAAATCTTTAGCAGTGAATTTTGGGTCGTTTCAACATGTATGAGAATCATTCTCTTCATCAGGTTGGATGCAAAATGGGTTGCACATTCTGTGCAACTGGAAGTGTGGGATTCAAGAGCAACCTCTCAACTGGAGAGATTGTAGAACAAGTAGTACTTGCTTCTCGATTATCACCCATTTGCAATGTTGTTTCCATGGTAGATACCTAAAAAAAAGCTTGTTTTACTTTAAATTTATGTCACTACAACTGACACCATCATCTTGTATTCAGGGAATGGGAGAGCCATTAAACAACTACATTGCTTTAGTTGAAGCAATTCGAGTAATGATAGCATTCCCTTTTCAGCTTTCACCCAAGAAAATTACTGTCTCAACGGTTTGTTTTGTTTGCTCCATTTTACATCCTCAATATTAGTCTTTTTAAGAACATTTCTGGATTCATATCTATCATTCTCATAATTTCTTGTAGGTTGGAATAATTCATTCAATAAACAAGCTTCATGGTGACTTACAAAATATAAACCTAGTAGTGTCGCTTCGTGCACCAGTTCAGGATATTAGGTGTCAAATAATGCCTGTAGGTCGCGCTTTTCCTTTAGAAAAACTTATGAATGCTTTAGCAGAATATCAAAAGAAAAGGCAGCTCTTTTTTGTTTCTTTTTTTAATTTCCACAAAGTGTAAAATTACTAAAATACCCTTCTAGTATTGACTTTACAGGCTGCAAAAGATTTTCATTGAGTACATAATGTTGGATGGTGTAAATTATAAGGAGCAGCATGCCCACCAACTTGGTAGATTGCTTGACACATATGAAGTGGTGAGAAAGAGATTCAAATTTGTTTTTAGAGTAAATTATAATTTTGCTCCCTGAGTGTTGCTGTTTTTTTTTTCACTTTTGTTCCCAAAAATTTTTCTCTTGCAATTTTTGTTCTTATTTACATGTGATTCACATATGAATCACATGTTATTCACATGTAAATCACATGTTATTCACATATGAATCACATATAAATCATATATGAATTAGATGTGATTCACATGTAAATCACTAGTGAATCACATATCAATTACGTCAATATGCACACATGCATTTTGCGTGAGTTGTCTTTGTTAATTTTTTTTATTTTCTTGTGAATTTCATATTTGAATCTTAAAAAATACAATCACATGTGAATATCACATTATATAATCACATTTGAATCTTAGATCCTATAATCACATGTGAATATTACATGATATATATTTGTGCATTTTCTGAGTGTTCTTGCATTAATCATTTTTTTTTGAATTTTCTTGTAGGTTTTGAAGAATTTGTTGAAAATATTGAAGGGATAAAAAGTGATAAATTGAAGAAAATATAGAAATGCTGATATGAAGAAATGATAACATTGTGAATCTTTGTAGTTTTTTTATATTTTATTTTTTGTCGAATAAAATATTTGTATTATTTTTATAGATTGAATAATAAAAATGAGATTTTTATAATTTACTTACGAATATTATAATATAAGAAATATACATATATGCATTTGAAAAAATATGCATATATGCACCTAAAACGTTGATTTTTTTGTTAAAAAAATTCAGTTTTGAAAAAATTGCACTTTTTTTATAAAAATTGTAGTTTTTTTCATTAAAAAAAATGCAGTTTTTCTGAAAAAAAAAATGCAGTTTTTTTGAAAGATAAAAGAAATCAGTTTTTTTTTTTTTTTAATGCAGTTTTTTTTTGGAAAAAATAAATACAGTTTTTTATAGAAAAAATGCAGTTATTTTTGAAAATAATATGCAGTTTTTAAAAAAATACTTTTTTTTTTCATTTTTATTTTAAAATTCATGTTTTTTGAAAAAAATTAAAAAATCTCCATTTCTTTAAAAAATCGAAAATTATTTTTTTTTAAAAAAAAATCCGAAATGTTGAGTTATTTTGTTAATTTTTAGACATTTATATTAATATATTAAATAATACAAAAAAGTTCAATATTAAATGAGATTAGTAAGATGACGATCATGTCCTCAACGAATTGCTTTTATTTCCAAAAATTAACATTGTAAATAAAATTTTGGATTTTTTTAATAAAAATATCAATTTTCATTTTTTTAATTGCAAATTTTTAATTTTTTTAAAAAAAGTTAATTTTTTTAAAAAACTAAAAAAAAAGTTTTAAAAGAAACTGCAAATTTTTTAAAAACAGTAAATTAAAAACAAACATGAATATTAAATTTAACTAAAAAAATCAACATTTTAGGTGCATATATGCATTTTTTTTCAAGTGTATATATGTCTTATATTATAATATTCGTAAGTAAATCAAAAAAAAAAAAAATTAAAAAAAAAAAAAAAAAAACTCATTTTTATTTACTGACCAAAAAACACATTAGTATAAGTATTTTAATCAATAATAAAATATAAAAAGCAAAAAATGCTACAAAATTACAAAGCATTTTTATATCTTCATGTCAATATTTTCATTTTTCTTCAATTTATCACTTTTCACATCTTTAGTATCTTCCCCTAATAAAAATGTTTATTATCGTACATCTTAATAAAAATGTCCAAAAATTAACATTGTAAATAAAATTTTTGGATTTTTTTTAGTAAAAATATCAATTTTCATTTTTTTAAATGTAGATTTTTAATTTTTTTTGAAAAAAGTTAATTTTTTTTATAACTGAAAAAAAAAATTAAAAGAAACAGCGAATTTTTTAAAAACAGTAAATTAAAAAAAACTTGAATATTTAAAAAAAACTATAATTTTTAACCAAAAAATCAACGTTTTAGGTGCATATATACATTTTTTTTCAAGTGCATATATGTCTTATATTATAATATTCGTAAGTAAATCATAAAAAAAAAAAAAAATGAGTTTTTTTTATTTACTAACCAAAAAACACAATAGTATAAGTATTTTAATCGATAATAAAATATAAAAAGCAAAAAATGTTGCAAAATTACAAAGCATTTTCATATCTTTGTGTCAATATTTCTATATTTTCTTCAATTTATCACTTTTTACACCTTCAATATCTTCCACTAATTTTTCCAAATGTACAGATAAAAATTTTAAAAAAATGATTAATTCAAGAACACTTACAAAAATGTATATGTATACATCATGTAAGATTCACATTTAATTATATAATGTGATATTCATATGTGATTTATATGTAAATATCCGATTTACATGTGAATTACATGTGATTCATATGTTAATTACATGTGATTTACATGTAAATCACATATAATTCATATAAGAATCACATGTAAATCACATATAATTCACATTTAATCGCATATTTCCATGTGAATTACATGTAATTTACATGTAAATCATATATTTACATGTGATTTACACCTGAATCACATGTAAATATGTGATTTACATTTGAATTACATATGATTTACACGTGAATCACATGTAAATCACATATTTATATGTGATTTACACACGAATTACATGTAAATCACATGTAAATATATGATTTACATGTGAATTACATGTGATTTATATGTGAATTACACGCGATTTACATGTAAATCACATATAATTCAAATGTAAATCACATATTTCCATGTGAATCACATGTAAATCACATATTTACATGTGATTTACACGTGAATCACATATAATTCATATGTGATTCACTTGTGATTATCACATCTTTAAACAACATAAGCAAATCCAAAAGATATATCATGCACTACGATTTATTTCCAACAGATTATCACATGAGTAGATTGTAGTAAATCACAATAAAAGTTTTAGATCATACAAACCTTCATTTCTTCTAAGGAAACCGAATAATCTTGGTATTGTTTCAAATGCATGTGTTGTAATCTTCTTTATTTCAAATTCAACAATTGAAAAGAAGGCAAACAAATTTATTTTTTACAAAAAAAGTTTTTTTTCTTTATAGAAAATTGAACAAAGTACCTATTAAGGAATTTTAGTTTGGCCTTCTTCATGATGTCACTCTTTGTATTGCCAATGTTACTACTAGGGCCTCCTACACTTGAAGACATGTCAGCAAACCACCAATTTAATTAAATTATGTAAAACTAATTAATAATGACATTTAATAGAGTTGTATATAGATATGGTGTAACATCCTATTTAAAATAAAATAATTAAATAATAAACCCGTAACCCCGAGAATTCGACTCAAAAATTCGACTCTTCGAATCCAAAATTCGCACTTACAGAACTTTGCGTAGAGCTTCTCCAATCGTAGTTTTTCTAAGACCTGATGCAAGTGTTGCCTATGCTATTCTTTACTTCGAGAGTATATAAGTATATCATCGATGAATACTATCATGGACTTATCTAAATAAGAATGACACACCCGATTCATTAAATCCATGAACACTGTCGGCGCGTTTGTTAATCCGAAAGGCATCACTACGAACTCGTAGTGACCATAGCGAGTTCAGAAGGCTGTTTTTGGAACATCTTCATCCAACAACCGTAACTGGTGATACCCGGATCTTAAATCAATTTTTGAAAAGTAGCTCGCTCCTTGGAGTTGATCGAACAAGTCGTCTATGCGAAGCAGATGGTAGCGAATCTTGACAGTAAGCTTGTTCAATTCTTTCTAGTCGATGCACATTCGGAACGATCCGTCTTTCTTCTTCACAAATAAGACTGGTGCTCCCCAGGGTGAGAAGCTTGGTCTAATAAAGCCCTTGCTGAGCAATTCGTTCAGTTGCCCGGATAGTTCATGCATCTCTGATGGTGCTAAACGATAGGGCAATATGGCTACTAGAGTAGCCCCTGGAACTAATTCGATTCTGAACTTGACTTGAAGTTGTGGTGGTAATCCTGGTAGTTCTTCTAGAAAGATATCGGGAAAGTCGCATACTTTTGGGATGTCCTTTATGTCTTTCGTCTCTTTGCTCATATCGAATACATGAGCAAGGAATGCATGATTTTCCTTTTGTAAGTACTTCTGGGCTTGCATATTTGAGATGATAAGAAGGCTCATTCCTGGTTTGTCGCCATAGATATCTAGCGTTTCGCTAGATGGTAGATTTAGACGAACGGCTTTCTCAAAGCATAGAATGTCATAATGATGGAGACTTAACCAGTTCATGCCCATAATGACATCGAAATGTTTAATTGATACAGGCATGAGGTCGATTGGAAATGAACGACCATCTATAGAGAAAGAGAGAGAGATAGTACATCCTATGAAAATATCGCTAGAAGTCTCAGTCTTTCCATTAGCCATTTCTACGACGAATGTTTCCTTTAGTGCTTGCAGTGCTTGATTAAGTAAATGTTTAAATTCCTGGTTCACAAAATTTCTCTCTGCTCCACTATCAAATAGTATACATGCATATGAGTTATTGAGGAGGAACATACCCGTGACTACAGTGGTGTCTGCCATCGCTTCCTCGTGACTGATAGCAAGAAGTCTTCCTGTTCCGCCAGCATTATTGGCCTTAGGGCAATCTCTTTCGAATTTTCCCATTTCGCCCCACCCGTAGCAGGCCTGGCTTGCTCCTGTGCCAGGGACCTGGGTGATTGGTCTAGCTGGTGCCTTGTAGAAACGGGTTGTGTGCCCATTCCTGTCACAGTTAACACAATGCATTTCCCGGCAAGGGCCGTTATGATGGAAATTGCACTTGTGCACTTAGGCATGCTCCCTGCATATTGTTTTGCTAGCGCATGGGTTGCGGGGGCTATTGCAACATGAACAGCCACAACCTGTTGTTTCTTAGAAGAGGGTTGTGTTGTTTG